AGTTCTCCCATTGTTAACCGCCTTTTTAAGGTAGACTCCACTGAAATAGAATTGCTGAACTGTTAGGGGATTATGCAAATAAGGATGATTGTTTGGATGACTTTATTCAGTTTTACTCACTTTTTATGTTGTAATTATTTTTTTTATTTTCAAATCCTAGCAAGACATGCCCTAGGTTCATTTATCATTACATAGATAATGTGTACAATATAGGATTGTTTGCATGGGAGATGGCTGCCTATGTTTTTTTGGTTGAAGAAATGAGGAAGAACGTTGATGGCGCACTGTATTTTAATGGATGCGCCATTAGGTTGTTGATGAGTTATCTACTTTATGTATGATATCATTTATATATTATTTTTTTATGACTATTATATTGCGTTTATGAGTTTGAATTGGGCACGCTTGGATGCATGAGGGGGTCTCTTCTCTGGGTTTATAAACATGTGTGACGGTGAAGCGTTTGTATCACTAATAAATAGAAAGGTGAAGCGCTTCTTTGTTACATCTGAGTTAGCATTTGATACACACACAAATAAAGGTGAAGTGCTTCTTTGCATTAACCGTAGAAGAGAAACTGAAAGGTCCAAATGCCTCTACTACTGATGAATCAAATGTGTCCTTATACACTTTAGAAGCAACAATTCTTCTTAAAGATAGAGATGAAGTAATTGCACTTTGAAAAACAAACAGATGAAATGAAGAAAGAAAACAAATAAAAAAAAGAGGTTGAGCACGAAAAAGAAGAACTTGTAAGATCACATTTCGTCAAATATGTTTATTGCTATTGTGTACGTTTTAAAATCTAATAAATCACATTTGGAGTACTGATTAAATACGACATTGAGCGCTAACAAAAGTTAAGGATTTGTGGTGTTTGGATAATAGGATAATTAATTGAAATTTTGAATTTAGGGTGTTTGGTTACATGTATATTTTTTTTTTTTTTTTTTTTTTTTTGAGTAAGGTTACATGTATAGTTTAAGATGAGAAGAAAAATAAATACAAAATCACTAAGTGAGGGGCATTGTAGATATTTCGGGTGGGTAGGTACCTAGCTGTAAGCGAAACTTAGAAAGAGGACTGCAGTGTCCAAAGTATACTAGTGGGGACTGAATCGTATTTGAATTTAGGTAAAAATTACGAGTAAAAACCATAACATTTTTTATTTTGTAATTTATAAATCATTTTCATGATAATATTTAGGACATACTATGTTTTTACTTATTTTATTTATATTCAAAATTTTAAAAGTATTTACTTATTTTATTTTCTATAAATACCTAAAAATGAAGGGAATGGAAAATTTTTAGGACACAATTATACCTTAATCCCGGTAGCTTTTAGTTCACTCTTGAAATGTTTGACCCCCAAATAAAAAATTCTTGGTTCCGCCACTCCATATATATAGAGAGCCAAGTAGGGCAATGGCCCACCCATTATTTTTCATAGAGATTTAAAATGTTTCGTGTATGATTATCATTATCGGCACCCTCATAAAATATTTCATGTATTCATCCTGACCCCTTCGTACTTAAAATGTTGCTTCGTTCATATAAGAGATAGACAATAAAGTGATATATATCACCGTTTCAAATCGGAAGAATTAAGGCTTGTAATTCTCAAAAGACAAAAAACTCCTTATAAATCGCAAGTACAACTCACGCGTCTAATTCCAGACAATTTAGCTGAAAATAAGTAAAAATTGGCAATATGACACAATAATTGAGTTCAAGTGTGATTTAAATAAAAAAAAAAAAAAAAAAAAAAAAAAAAAACGGAAAGTTATTCGGATTAGTTTGCCTCAATTCAAATGCATATGTATATCAAGGTTGTAAAACGCGGAAATCGGATCGGAGACGGTTAGGCACCGCCTCGCGATTAATCGGTGCGACGGTGATTAATCGACGATAAATCGGAAATAAATTATTTTATTTTTTTAATTTAGTATAATATATTTCTAGATATTAGTTGTAAATAGTCAAAACATATATAAAAATTTATCTAAATATGATTATATCCCCATCATTTATAAATCCTGATAACATAATTAAAGTTTAATAATAATAAGATCATAATACAATAAAAATCCTTATAAAATCCAAATAAAACACACATCTTTTGAATTTAAATTTATTCTTGAACATTGCAAGCATATATCATTAGCTTCTTTAACAATAACAATTAACATAAACAAAATAAAGTTTAAATTCATTTTTTATTAAATGCTCAACTTTAATTTGAATTAAAAACAGATATTTTTTACCGATTTTTGCCACCAAAGTTTAACCTGCCTCCATGGTTTGACCGCCTCACACCGCCTAAAACCGCTTCAATGGCCAAATCCCGATTTTTGAAACATCTACATTAAAATCGTAAATATTTAGGACCACCTCCACCTTGAAGACCGATTAATCAACCAGCTCGACCAATTTTTTTGAGAACACAGTACACAGTGGCGGAGCTAAACAAGAGCAGGTGTGGCTGTGCCCCCCTACCACCGCAACATTGAAAGAAAAAAAACAATTAGGAAATTTTAAATAGTAATTTTTATATATAGACTTTCGGCCCCCACCCCATTTTTTTGTAAGTATGAACTTTGACCCCGCCATTTATTATTTATTTTTCTCATACTCTTACTTCAATTTATATAGGTTTTTTCATATTTATCATTAGAATATAAACAATTATCATTAAAACTTATACTATTTGAATCTATACATATTAAGTTATTTTTGTATTATTTAATAAATTTCTCTAAAATTATAGTTTTGGTCCCCCATCCCATGTTTGCACGTTTTTTCACCTTTGGTCCCCCTTTTACCGCCATCAACAAAATACACTCTAATGTTTTCACATTTTAACACAATGAGTCCCTTCTTCTGTTTGACTGTCAAGAATTAACGGTCAACGGTTGAGGTATGGCTGAATTTGGGGTTTTTATTTGAGACGATTTCCAAAAGACCTTTGTATTCTTTCAAAATAGTCTAAAGACCCCAAAAAAATTATCCAACATTTAATCCCAAATTCGTCATTTAACCAATTTTGACCGTTGATAAATCTAGATTTTTTTTAAACTTCTTCTTTCGGCGATGACTTTTTTTTTTTTCTTGATTTGTTTTTACTTTTTTCTTTGATTTTTTTTCCTATCAACATAGTATTATTAATGTATAACACAATAATACTACTATATTAATATCTAGAATCGTATATTAAAAATTTCAAACTTGTAACAAAGTTTTTATCTAAAATTTAGGGACCAAAATACAAGTTTAAAAAAATCTTAAAAATCCCTAATTTATTCCTCTCAAACTTTTCTTCATGGAACCGTCTGCGCATCCCAAATTTCTTCCCAAAAAATATGAAGAAGATGAATTAAATATGTGATGGAATAATTTGTAAAGGAGAAAACAACTCTAGTACAACGGTTTTTGGAGCCAACACATAGACCGTTTATTTAAAAAAAAAAACATTATTTTTTCTATAACTATTTTCCAGTCGTTCAGTGGCATTGACTTTTTACTTTTTCTTTTTTTTTTTTGACTTTTTTTATGATATTATTTTTTCCGCCGGTTATTCGTTTTGACATTTTTTTTTAAATTATATTTTTCTCTCTACTCAACAATTGATATGAAAATAAAATAGTAATCAAGAAAAAAAGTCAACGCACCCGACATTCAACATGGGTCAACAACTGCAAAAAAAAAATCAATGGAAACAAATTCAACCTAGTTAACAAGAAAGTCAATGTCGGAAAAAAAATCAACAAAAAGATAAAATAAAATAATCAACGGCGGTAAAAAATAGGGTCATTGGTTAAAATCGGTTAATTGGTGAAATTGATGTTAAATTTGAGTTATATGACATTTAGGGGTTTTTAGAAAGTTTTGAAATAATACAGGGGTTCTTATTGCAATTTTATCAAAGAAAAATCGCAAATTCAGCCTTTGACGGTTGCTTGTTGACAGTCAAACAGACAGAAAGACTCAATATGTTAAAATGTGACAACATTAGAGCAGGGGCGGATGGTAAGTATGTCAAGGTGGGGTTGTTGCCCCCCTACATTTTCAAAATTTTCCATTATATATATATATATATATATATATATATATATATATATATATATATATATATATATATATATATATATATATATATATATATATATATATATATATATATATATATATATATATATATATATATATATATAAAAAGAAAATTATATATTATATAATATTAATTTTGGCTGCACTAAATTAGGATGTTGTAGAAAGTTTTTATGTGTTTTTGGGCTTTCGGGCTTCTAAAAAGATTACTCAATGTGGAATTAACAAAAATTTGCTCTCCCAATTTCTACAGATTGATGGTTTCAGAACAAAATGATTAGATAAAATTCAAATTGATCAAAAATGTACACAATCTCTTTACTAATTATGACCAAATTGAGTAAATTAATTTCATTTTTATGTTTTTAGTACGGGCTCAATAGCGGATGATTTTAGTTACAATTTAAATGGTTGCATTTGTTTAACCCATTAACATTAATATTTATATTGATATTAAAAAAAAAAAAAAAAAAAAAAAAAAAGCTACATTTTTTTTGATCGGATGTTTAGCCCCCATCTAAATGTCCCACGGTCCGCCCCTGCATTAGAGTGTATTTGTTGACGGCGGTAAATGAGAGACCAAAAGTGAAAAACGTACAAACTTGAAGGACCAAAAGTATAATTATCCCGTCTGCCCCGCATATAATATATATAAGTATTTGTCAAAGCAACAAGAAAATTGCTAGGCAATATGCAGTTTATTAAAAAAATGGCATCCATTAACAGAGCTCATCAACACGGGGCTCTGCTAAAACATACACTAGCTCTCAATGCCATGAATGCTGGAGATGGACCTCACAGCTATGCCCAAAACTCCTCCTATCAGGTACAACAAATTCAAATCCATATATCTATATGCAATATATATATGTATATACATAGTACATACATAATTGAATTAAAATTTATTGCAGAGAGGAGTAGTAGAAGTTGCGAAGCCAATCATTGAAGAAGCGATCGCCACAAAGCTAGACATCAAATTACGCGGCTCCTCGACCATCGGCGTGGCCGATTTCGGTTGCTCAACAGGGCACAACTCATTTCCAGCCATGCAAATAATCACACAATCAATCAAGCAAAAGCTACACCGTCTCGACGAAACAATTACCCCGGAATTCTACGTATACTTCAACGACCTTTACAGCAACGATTTCAACACCCTCTTCGGTTCACTGCCGCCACCGGATCAGCGGCATTACCGTGCAGCCGCAGTGGCGGGAGACTTCCATCGCCGCCTCCTGCCGGAGTCGTCCCTTCACTTTGCGTACTCTAGTTGGTCGCTCCATTGGCTGACCGGTGTCCCGAAAGGCGTGGATGAAAGAGATTCTCCGGCTTGGAACAAAGGGGAAATTCTCTACACAACCGAAAGAAAGGAAGTATGTGAAGCTTATTTGAAACAGTATGAAATGGATATTGAGTCATTCTTGAAAGCAAGGGCAGTAGAAGTTGTGGGGGGAGGGCTTATGGCCATTGTAATAGCTGGAGTACCTGATTTTTGGGATCCTCAAACAGAGTACACTATTCCTTCTGATGTAAACCTTTTGGGATCTTGTCTCATGGACATGGCTACAATGGTAATTATTTATTTACTTTATTTATTGCAATTAATTAGTGCATGTGTCACCGGTAGAAAAATTATTTTTTACTGCAACAATTAACCGCAGTAAAAACTAAAAAGCATCAAATTCGTAGTAAAAACTTTTTTGCTACGTATTTGCTACAATTTTACCCCGTAACAACATATACGGGCATGACAAGAACTTTGCTACGCTAAATGGTTGTAGCAAATACTTATTTAATACGGTAAATCCTAGCATACTACGACTCCAAGATTACCGTAGCAAAAAAAAAATCGTAGTAAAAAGTCATTTTTTACTGGTGTGTTATATTGAATTGCTGATAAAACCACCCCATGTTATTCTATTGTCAAAACTCTTATTTGATTTGATTCTTTTTAGCAATTATTAGTACCCGTGATTAGGTGTTGTTTGCTAGAAAAAAAAAAAAAAGTCAAAGGAATCTTGCCAATAAAAAAACAGAATTACAAAAAATATTCAATAACTTCTTTTTTTAATATGAAATATTTGTATGGTATAGGAATATTTGTTATGCCAGGTAGCGTTTTCTGGGTTTTAGCGAAAGATCATCATTCCAACAATAATATTCGTTACCACGCTATACTAATTTAGCACCCCACTAACAATAACAATAGTTAATTTGCAATATTAAATAAGTATTTGGTTAATAAAGCCAAATTAATTAATTAATGTTGCATGCAGGGAAGATTCAGTGAAACAAAAGTGGACACATTCAACCTGCCATACTACTTCAGCACCCGAAAACAGTTGAAGTCAATATTGGAGAGGAGTGATAGTTTCACCATTGAAAGGATGGATATACTAAACAACCCTGGAAAGCACACCTTGCCCACCGTTAAAGCTCGTGCATCATTCTTCAGGGCTGTCCATGAAAGATTGCTCACAGATCATTTCGGAAATGAAATCATCGACGAATTGTTCTACCTATATATGAAGAAACTTGAATCTTCGCCCGTTTTCTTGAACCCTTATAATGACAAATCCATTGTGATTTTAGCTGTTCTCAAGCGTAAAGCCGGTTAGCAGTACAAAACTACATGCTTGTGTATTCTTGTACCCTTAATTATCAAAGTCATGCTTTTAGGTTTCCATTTCACTAATGGGAAATTGTTGCTTTTGTTATATTTTCATAAAAAAATGATTTTCAAATTTGCTTGGGGATAACTGAGTAACTATAATGAGAATTAGCAAAGTATATGCAAATCAAATTCCAAAGAAAAGCAAGAAACAGTACACATCTAACAGCAAACGCAAACAACAAACTAAATACGGATTTTTTTTCTGTATGAATAATAGATCAGATGTATTATACCAAGAAGAAGTCACATAATTAGAGCAATAGGAGCAAACATAATATAAGTGGTTCCGTAAGCGTGATGGAGCAAATTTTGCACCCTCGAGAACTTTCTTCGAACCTAATGCATAATTAGTGTTTGCAGATCAGTCAACTTGGAAAAATCACCTATTGTGATTATTGAAGAATTAGATTCAGTGCCATATATGGTTAGAAATCTCTAGTAGTCTAGTTTCCATCACAAGAAATGATTTGCGAAACGGAAGTCTAATGAAGAAGTTATGAACAGTTTTCTAGAGTCTGCCAACTGCACTCGGAAAATTTGAAAGTATTGTGTCTTTTGGTATTTCTAAGAGTCTTACTTATTTTATTAGTCTATTTTTTTATTTTAATTATTGTTATCATTTAATAAGGTCATATTTTATGTATTGTATGAGTCAAGATCAAATTTATCTATTTTCTGGAATAAAAAGATCATGAGCCATTCAAAGTGCAATTTCCTTTGTTTTGGAGGGATGTTCCAAAACTCCTATATAAGCACCCTTTAAATGAAAAAAATGGGAGATGGTTGTTTAAGTTTAAAAATATCTTACAAGTTAATTGTATTGAGAGTGAGTTATTTCTCTTTATACGAGTGAGTGACTTGGTTGCGTTGAGTGATTCTGTGATTAGTAGCGTCGAGTGAGTCCACTGCCGCCGGTTGAGTGATTCCTGGTCATCTATCATTTTTTATCTCTTCCCGTTGCGGGTTTCGGCCTGCATCAAGTGGTATCCATCAGGTTACGCTTTTTTTTCATACTCTGATCAAATAACATGTCACCCCATTATCAAAGAAACTTTGAAGATGTCAATATCCACGCGGAAATTGATAAAATACGACAAATGTTAGCTGAACTTCTAGCAGGGGAGAACTCTCCTACTCGAAGTAGAGGAAATATTTCTCAAAATTCTATAAGCGAAGCCCATGGCGAACTTCACAATTCCTCAAGTTCAACCAATATTTTTTTAAATCCTTTCGCCGCTCAAAATAATACAACAGTAGATGCGGATGAATGCTGTGATTGGAAAGCTTCACCAGAGGGTTTCTTTGAGTGGAAAAATCTTGAAGAAATTAACCTTGTCGAGGAAGATCAGTATGATGAGGAAGACAAACCCCCTTCATTTTGATGAAGAATTTGCACAAGAAGTTGAAGAAGAGTATTGTCCTATGATTGACAAGTTGAAGTGCGAGAAACATCTAAAGCCGTACAAAGCTTCGTGGTTCAAGAAATAACAAATCCTAATTTCTCAAAACAATCGCATGAAGTTTTCAACTGGAAATTACGACGATAAAGCCTATTTTGATGTTCTTCCCATGGATTCTTTTCATCTTCTTTTGGGAAGGCAGTGGCAATATGATCGAGATGGTCACCATAATGGAAGAGAGCATACTTATTCGGTTTTCAAGAATGGAACTAAATATGATTTGCTTCATTTAAAACGTACACCAAGTTGCAATTGTCTCAAAACTCCAGTGAACTTTCGGTTCTACTAACATTTCAAAAAAAAAAAACAATCAATGTTTGTTTCGAAGTCGAGAACGAGTTATTTTCAAGAAAGGGAGAATGATGCAAAATTGGTGTTTGTAGATCAGTCAACTTTCATTGAAATTGGAGGATCAGATGGATGTGATTTCTCTTTTGTGTTCTATCTTTCTGGCTAATCGAGGAGAAGGAAAATATTTGTGCTTGGTGAGTCATATACAAGTAGTCATATATAGTCAGATGTGGTCATATACACGTAGTCATATATAGTCACATGTGGTCATATACATGTAGTCATATATAGTCACATGTAGTAACATATATTAATCTATAGTTATATATAAGCTATGTTTTTTTTTCCTGATGTATAGTGATGTTGATGATTGTGTTTTTCCAATTTTATTTTTTTTTTTACTAATCTTGATTTGTGAATTTTGTTGTTGCTTTAGATAAAGTTCTTTTATATATATATATATATATATATATATATATATATATATATATATATATATATATATATATATATATATATATATATAATCAACGTCTACATAATCGGTAGACTGTAATTTTGGTGTAAAAACACAGTGCATGATTACATATAAATACATGCATGATTATAGAACGTGTAGTATACTATAGTCATGTATAGCGGTCTCAGTACAGTAAATTTATCAAATTTTGAATTAATAGAAAAAATTAAAAAATTAAAAAATTAAAAAATAAAACAAATTAAAACATTTCGAAAGTTAAAAAAAATATTTAAAAAAAAATCAATAATAAAAAAACAATAAAGTAATATATAGGAATAAAAAAATAAGGGTCTTTACAAATAAGTCAATCAATGGGTACTTATTCATAAAGAGATCCAGACAATAAACTCATTTACAAAAAAGTCCACACATGGTCCAGATTTTTGTACAAGACTAAAATAATCCCTCATACTTTAATATGCTCCAATTTCGTCATTTAATTTAATTTAACCTCAATTTGACCCCAAATTTCACAAATTATTCAATTTTGATCCAAAACACATTTTTATGGACAATTTCATCCGTCAACACCGTTGACCGCCGTTTTCCGGCGTTGACTTTTTCCCTTTTCTTCTTCTTCCTGATTTTTTCACCGGTTTCCGGCGTTGACTTTTTTTTTCTGATTTTTCCGCCACCTGTTTCCGGCATTTACCTGTGAGTAACAGTCATATACTATAACAACAATAATATTACCGTCAACCACAGTAATATTACAATAATAGACAGTAATATTATTGCGTTACTCAGTGAATAACTTAAACAAACAAAAAAACCTAAACAAAAGAATAATATTGATGTGGTTGACAACAATATTACTACAACAACAGTAATATTACCGTCAACCACAGTAATACTATTGTGTTTACAGTAATATTACAATAATAGACAGTAATATTATTACATTACTCCGTGCATAACTCAAACAAAACAAAAAACCCAAAAAAATAATAATATTGATGTGGTTGATAGTAATATTATTGTGTTTACAGTTATTTTACTGTCAACTATAATTCGTTGAGTTGTCAACAAATCAAACAAAATTAAAGAAAATAACAACAAAAAAAAAAATACGTTAATTTACTGTCAACGGCAGAACAATCACATAAATGTATTGTCAACGGCAGTACAATTACGTTAATGTACTGTCATTGACAGTATAATTACGTTAATTTACAGTCAGTGACAGCACAATTACGGTCAACATTTAGCGGCGGACGTACAAAAAAAATTAAAAAAAATCGAGAAGTCAACGCTGGATTCCGGCGTTGACCGACGGTCAACGCCGGAATCCGGCGGCAAAAAAGTATCTTTTTGGACAAAAAAAAGTCAAAATTAGATTTTTGTGGTCAAAATTGATTAAACTGGGGTTACAATTCAAAATTTGGTAAAAATGGTTGGGGGTAATTTTGTCATATACATGAATATTTTCTTTATTTATAATAAATATTAAAGGGATGTGATTATTGGTGAAACAGATAAAACCCATAAACATAGAATAATAAAGATGGTTCGGGACTTATGCACAAAAACCCCTAAAAAATAAACGAAAAGAATTTTATTAAAATAAAAAATAAAAAAACTGATAAATGCAGTTGGTGAAAAAGTTAAATGCAGTTCGGAGAAAATTGCACATAAAGGCACAATAGTATTTTTGCCTCTCGAGTAGTATCTCAAAGAAAAAAATTTAGGGGTGGACCTAACCCTATATATTTTTTATATTAGGGGTGTATATCAAATGACCCATTTATCTTATATATAAATGGAGAAAAAGCTAGAGCAACCGAACAAATCCTAATAACATTTTTTTTAAATTCATCATTATTATTTTAGTATTATATTTTCATCTCCTATTTTCTACATTTTTTTTCTCTAGTGACTTTTATGGCAAATTGGATAGCAAATCCTAATCCACTCCAACAGCTATTGTTTTTAAGTCTTGCAATTTAATTCGTAAACAATTTATTTTGTGGTTAATATTTAGGGCATATTACAAATAAGCACATTAATGTGTACTTATTCATAAAGAGATCCAGACAAAAAACTTTTTTATTAATAAGTTCACACATGGTCCAGAATTTTGTAAAGGACTAAAATAAGCCCTTATACTTTAATATGCTCCAATTTCATCATTAACTTTATTTAACCTCAATTTGACCCCAGATTTCACAAATTATTCAATTTTGACCCAAAATTTCTTTTTTTTTCAATTTTTTTTTTTCAAAAACATTTTTTTTCAAAAACATTTATTTTCCCGCCGGATTCCGGCGGTCAACGCCGGTCTCCAGCGTTGACTTTTCAATTTTTTTTTCTTCCGGATTTTTTCGCCGGTCTCCGGCCTTGACTTTTTCGATTTTTTTTTCTTTTCTTTCTTTCTGTAACTTTTTTTTTCGTTTACACAACAATATTGCTGTGATTGACAGTAATATTAACTATCTTACTGTTAAACACAGTAAAATTAACTAAACTACAGTTTAACACAGTAATATTGCTATATTAATCTCTAGCACGATAATATTAACACAACAAAACTCATTATTATTGTGTAATAGAGTAATATTACTATGTTGACCGTTCAACAAATGTAAACATAATAAAAAACCAAAAGAATTAATATTATTGTGAGTGACAGTAATATTACTATAACAACAGTAATATTACCGTCAACCACAGTAA